TCCTCTGCCTCCCCCGTCCCAGAGCCTTCCCCCTCCTCTGCCTCCCCCCTCCCAGAGCCTTTCCCCTCCTCTACCTCCCCCGTCCCAGAGCCTTTCCCTGCTGCCTCCCCCATCCTGGAGCCGTTACGTGTTGCAGTGTAGATGCACCCTTACACACACTCCCTCAGAGTCTCACCTTGGCCATGGTCACTCTGGTCTTCTAGTTTAACCCCTTCAGGGACAACATGGCAGTCACTTGACTCTTGAAGCACTGGAGAGGTACTGAGCTTTGAAAGTACTGAAAGTCCTGAAACTCGGCCCCACTCCTGCCCCGTCCCACCCCACGGTCTGGTCTCACCCTGCTGCATCCAAGGGTTCTAGGCATGTCAGGCTGGGAAAAGCCCCTCCTGCCTTCTCTTTCTGCTGCAAGTCCTGCCTAGATGAGGCAATAGTTGGCTCCCCCTGCATAGGGAGGCACCTCCTTGAAAACAGCCTCACTCCTTTTCCCATGTGCTGGTCCCTGAGCAGAAAATCCATTGTTCATTGGGCTGGGGCCTGCAGTTGAGAGACAACAGGGCCGGCTCCAGGCACCAGCTTGGCAAGCAGGTGCTTGGGGCGGCCACTCCGGAGAGGGGCGGCAAGTCCAGCTATTCGGCGGACGGTCCCTCACTCCCGGTTGGAGCGAAGGACCTTCCGCCGAATTGCCGCCGCAGATCGCGGTCGCGGCTGGGGGGGGTGGGGGCTTTTTTTTTTTTTTTGGCTGCTTGGGACGGCCAAAACCCTGGAGCCGGCCCTGGAGACAATCACAGCTGCTGGCCCTAGACTGCCCTGCGATGCCTTCTTGCTCAGGCATGTCTGCACCACAGCGGCTGCAGCAACTGAGCTGCTCTCTGTCGCAGAGGTGGCTGAACTACATTCCTCCAAGTAGGAAGTGGCAACCCGGTAACACAAACTTCCCCTTCCCCTCCATGGGCCCATCTGGTGGAACTGGCATGCTAACTCGTCCAGCTGCTACCTGATCACTGGCCCCCGCACACCCCGCAGCCTCCCTCCTGGTCCCCAAACACACCTGTGCCCCCTCAGCCTCCCTCCTGGCCCTGCAGCCTCCCCTCTGCCCCACATCCCCCTGCATCCCCTCTGACCCCACACACCCCTGTGCCCCCCTCCATAGATGCTGGAACTAGGGGCGTGGGGGTGGTTTCCATTATATCCAGGGTTTACAGTTTGGTTCAAAGGCTCTCAGCACCCCCACTGTACAAATTGTTCCAGTGCCCCTGACCCCCTCAGCCTCCCTCTGGTCCAACATACCCTGCACACAGTTCAGCCCCCCACATCCCCTCGCAGACACACACCCCCCGCAGCCCACACACACCCCTGCACCCTCACAGCTCCCCTCTGCCCCCATGTCCCCTGCAACCCCCCTCAGACTCCCTCTGCCCCACATCCCCTCGCAGCTGCCCTCTGCCCCCTGCCCCCCAAGTCTCCCTTCATCCTCCTTCTGGCCCCTGGAACCGGCCCCCACACACCCCTGCACTCCCCACATCCCCCTGCACCCCTTGCTGCCTCTTCCTGCCCCCACAACCCCCTGTAGCCCCTCAGTCCCTAAGCCTCTCTCCTTCCCCTGCACCCTCCTCAGCCTGCTCCTCCCCTCCACACCCCATGTACCCCCCTCAGTTGCCCCCTCCCTCTGTCCCCTCCATTCCCCTGCACCCTTCCTCACTCTCCCCATTCCCGTCACTGGTCTCTGCTGCTCCTCCCTGTGCCCTGTCCACACCCTGGACCATAGAAGGGCAGCCATTTTGTTTGTGGGCCTGGCATCCGACAAAGGTCAGCCAATGGGTCCTAGTGGATTCTGCATCACTGGCCATGTCCAAATCAGGATGGGATGTTGTTCTAGGAGGTCTGCGCTAGGATATGTGGGGCAGTTCCCCAGCTCGTGCGGTGCAGGAGGTGGGACTAGATGATCACAGCGGTCCTTTCTGGCCCCCCCACTCCATCTCTCCTGAGCAGTTGCAGTGTCGTTATGGCCACATGGGTCCCGGGCTCGGAGACAGGCAATGGGGGAGGTGAGATCTTTATTGCACCAATGGCTGTTGGCAGCCGAGCTCCCCAGGCCCTTTTCCAGCTCAGAGAGATCAGTCCGAAGGGCAACCATGTACGCCGCATACAGACGGGGTAGGGAAACGGCACCTTGCTGGCTGCAGCCCCACCAACACACGAGCACTCCCAAGTTGGTGCCTTCCTTTGCGTTTTCATGAGACAGGTAAAAAAACACCCAGAATCGCCAGTGTCATTGCAAAATAACAGAGAGTTGGCAACAGGTATCCCTGGGCTTGGGGGGAGTTCAGGGGTCCAGGCTGATCCCATGTCATTGGGGTTGTGGGGGCAGTGTGGGGGCCCAGGCTGATCCCATGTTGTTTGGGTTGGAATGGGGGGCCAGTGCAGAGTCCCAGGCTGATCCCGTATCATTGGGGTTGGAGTTGGGGGGTCAGCCAAGGAACCCGTGTTCTGGATCCTGCCATGTCCATTCCAATGGCATGGAAGATTCACCAGCACTGTGTGTGCCGTTGCCTCTTTCGTTCTTATGCTAAATGTAACATGCCTCCAATATGTTTCCGCAGGAAAGTGAGAATCTGACTGATGCCGAGGAGAGATGCGATGGGCTCATCAAAAGCAAGATCCAGCTGGAAGCTAAAATTAAGGAGCTGACTGAAAGAGTGGAGGATGAGGAGGAGACGAACGCAGAGCTGGCAGCAAAGAGGAGGAAACTGGAGGATGAGTGTTCAGAGCTGAAGAAAGATATTGACGACCTGGAACTGACACTGGCCAAAGTGGAAAAGGAGAAGCACGCCATGGAGAACAAGGTGAGCAGGAGCTCAGGGAGGCAGCCCAGCACTGAGGCCTGCTGCTCCCAGCACTAGGGTTGCCAACTTTCTACTCGCACAAAACCGAACACCCTTGCCCCACCCCCTGCCCCGCCCCTATCTGAGGCCCCACCCATTCCCCACCCCTTCTCTGAGGCCCCGCCCCCTGTTCACTCCATCTGTCACTCGTGCTCCCCACCCTCACTCACTCGCTCATTTTCACCAGGCTGGCTCAGGGGGTTGGGGTGCAGGAGGGAGTGATGGCTCTGGCTGGGGGTGTGGGCTCCAGGGTGGGGGTAGGGATGAGGGGTTTGGGATGCAGGAGGGGGCTCTGGGCTGGGGGGTGGAGCCGAGGGATTTGGAGTATGGGAAGGGGCTCTGGGCTTAGGCCGGGGGTTGGGGTGTGGGGAGGTGTGAGGGTTCTGACTGGGGGGTGCAGATTCTGGGGTGATTCTGTGAATGAGGGGTTTGGGGTGCAGGAGGGTGCTCCGGGCTGGGGGGGTGGAGCCGAGGGGTTTGGAGTATGGGAAGGGGCTCTGGGGTGAGGCAGGGGGTTGGGGTGTGGGGGGGAGTAAGGCCTCTGGCTGGGGATGCAGATGCTGGGTGGGGCTGGGATGAGGGGCTTGGGGTGCAGGAGGGTGCTCCGGGCTGGGATCGAGGGGTTCAGAGGGCGGGAGGGGGATCAGGGCGGGGGCAAGGGGTTGGGGCCCAGAAAGGGGTCAGGGGTGCAGGCTCCAGGCGACGCTTACCTCAAGCAGCTCCCAGAAGCAGCAGCATGTGCCCTCTCCGGCTCCTACATGGAGGCACAGCTAGGCTGCTCTGCGTGCTGCCCCGTCCGTAGGCGTCACCCCTGCAGCTACCATTGGCCACTGTTCCCAGACAATGGGAGCTGTGGAGGTGGTGCTTGGGGTGAGAGCAGCATGCAGAACCCTCTGGCTGCCCCGACATGTAGGAGCCGGAGGGGGGACATGACGCTGCTTCCGGGAGCTGCACAGTGCGGAGGCTAGCAGGGAGCCTGCCAGCCCCGCTGTGCAGCGCCGGCAACCGGACAGTCAACGGCCCGGTTAGCGATGCTGACCGGAGCCACCAGGATCCCTTTTCGACCAGGGGTTCCGGTTGAAAACCAGACACCTGGTCACCCTACCCAGCACGCTGGGCGGGGGGCTCACCAAAGGCATGTGGCGCTCTAGAGCACTGTTGTTCGTTTTAACCATGCTGAGCTGAAGCGACATCAGACTGAGATACAAGGAACTGGGGAGGGGGGTTGCAGTTACTCACCAGCAAAAGACACATCTGAAGGAATGTTAGCTTTTCAGTGGGAAAAAATATAGCCCCTTTCTGACAGAACAGCCAGCTCACGCGGACGATGGGGGCTCGCATGGACTGTCACCTCCCTGCCCATTGTGCAGGTGTCACAGTGTAACACTGACAAACCCCAGTCAGGCAGGATCAAACCTGGGACCTCTGGAGCTAAATGCATGAGCCTCACTGCTCCAAGCCCCATGGCTCCTAGCTAAGGCTGTAGCAGACTCATTAATCTCTAAGTGGTCTCGGTGCAACTAGAGAGGACAGAACACCACACCCAGGAGGTGCGTGGGTTACAAAAGCAGCCCCCAGTGGCCAGCAGGACACTTTGCAGGGGACAGGTGCTTCTAACCAAACCAGGAGAGTTAGCCTCTATGCATGAGAAAAGCAAACTGTCATTGGCTCAAGAGTCTCACTGTGTTAATATGTAGCCTGGCAGATTTATGGTTCCTGCTGGCTGGGCTGAGCCAGTTCCTCCTCTTCCTCTCAAGATCCCTCCTTCATCATTCCACTGGTTCCTTTCCATAGCGCTCCATCTCTGAGCCCGCCTGCACATGCCTTGGTGTGAGGTATTGCCCAGCATGGCCTAGTGACAAGGGCACTGCACTAGGGCTCAGGACACCTGGCTCTATGCTCAGTCTGTAGTAAGTCACTTCCTCTCTCACTGCATCTGGGTCCCTCTTGCCTTTGGTCTCTGCAGTGTGTAAGATGTTCTGTGGCTTGATTGCACAGAGGGCTGCCTCTCCTAGGAGAAGGGAAGCTTCAGCAGGGGTGTGAGATGAATCCTTTGGGCTGACCGCGTGTCCATACTGCTTCCCAGCTGTGCCCCTAGCCAGTGAAACACTCACTGCAACATTCACATCACATAGAGCAACAAAATCCCAGAGGGCCTCAACATCTGTCCTTACAGGGGCACTTGTGGGGAGGGGAAAGAGAGCCCTTGCCCATCTCCAGGACAGGACACAGGCAGAATCAGGTTGCAGATAGCACAGGAGTGCCATGCTGGGGTGCCTAGCATTACCAGCAAGTATAGCAAGCCTAGAGGAGTATGCCCCCCACACACACATCCTGAGTGCCTACAGAGCTGCACTGGAGGGAACACTGCCTATCCCTGTGCAAGAGTTTGGCAAAGGGCACCTCCTTATGTGCTCCCTGTGCCTTCAGATCACCATGCATCCAAATACCACTCTCTGCACCTACCCCTCAGAATATGGGTGCTGGTTGTTTTCTAGATTAAGAATCTTACTGAAGAGATGGCGGCTCTGGATGAAACTATCTCCAAGCTCACAAAGGAGAAGAAAGCCCTCCAAGAGGTCCACCAGCAAACACTGGATGACCTGCAGGCCGAGGAGGATAAAGTCAACATGCTGTCCAAAACAAAATCTAAGCTGGAACAGCAAGTGGATGATGTAAGGGAAGGTTTTCGTGAGGGTGAACCCCATAGGTAGATGCCATGGTGGATTAGGGGAGGGATGGACTATGTGTGGTGAGATGGATGAGCTGTGTTTAAAGCAGGAAAACCCACACAAATAATTTTTAAGCCTTCAGAAAACCATTGGCACACTGGTGTGGTTTGTTTGGAGCAGCTTGTCTTTTATCTGTTCCTCTCAAAGTGCTGGTGTGTTTTGTGTGTTGTTTTAGCTTGAAGGGTCTCTGGAACAAGAGAAGAAGCTTCGTATGGACTTTGAGAGAGCAAAGAGACAACTTGAGGGGGATCTGAAGATGTCTCATGAATCCATCATGGATTTGGAAAATGACAAGCAGCAAATGGATGACAAACTGAAGAAGTATACCACTGCTTTTTAATCCCTCTGAATTTGGGTCCAAATTTGTCTTTAAAACATTGACTTTCACATTTTTCTTCTTTACCAGGAAGGAGTTTGAAATCAGTCAGTTACAAAACAAAGTGGAAGATGAACAGGCTCAAAGTTCTCAGCTACAAAAAAAAATTAAGGAACTGCAGGTAAAGTCTTAGAGCTATTGGTGTCTTCGTGCTCATAAAAGCCCACTTTAAAGTTGATCAGATTCTCTGCAGTATTAATGGGTATTTATTCTTAAAACATTCTAGTAGAAAGAATTTCCTGCACATAAATGAAAATATTAACATGACTCAAAATTTAATAAATCACCCAAGTGCACTTTCTCCAGTTACCATGGCCCTTGACTGGTAAGTTACTGTATATATAGTGATATTCTCCTGTGCATATGTACAGTTCTGAATGTCCAGAAATAAAGTTAAAATAAAAAGTAATTTCCAGACAGCAAGCTTTGCTAAGATACGGTTAGGGTTGGAAATGTACATCCCTCAAAAAAAACAAACAGTGTTAGAACATTGCAGTTTTGGGGCAAAATGCCATTGAAAATCAGAAAAATTGGGGTTTAGTTTCCACAAACTACCTTAACTCTGTCCTAATGTCCCACAAAAATGTGAACCATCCTGGTAATGAAGCAATGGAGCTGGTTTGTCAGGAAGAATTTTGTTTCCAAATTTTTTTCTTCTGGAAACACCAACTTTCTCCTGAGGACTTTGTGATAAAGTTCAAAGTAAAATACACTTCTTTCTTTTCTGTATCTCTCCACCTGTAAAGCTGCTTCAGTACCACATGTCCAAACATACAGGTAATTTAAAGGATGCAAAATTGTAAAAAATACACTTTAGAAACCTTTAAAAATTGCTTAAAGAGCTTTTCCATTATCATGATGTAGTAGGGACTAAAAACCACAGCTTCTGCAAAGGAAAATTATGACTCACTCATCCATAAGAATTATTTGAAAATGTCAAACAAGTGAGTAAAAGAAAATTGGTTGACATAATTTATTTGGACTTTAAAAAGACTTTGACAAAGACCTTCTGACGAGACTGTTAAGGAACTGAAGCAGTCATGTGGCGAGAGGGAAAGTACTGGCATGGACCAGAAACTGGCTGAGGAGCAGAAAACAAAAAATAGGAATACTGGTCAGTTTTCATCATGAAAGGCAATCAGTAGGACCCCCATGGTTCCATGACTAGAACTGTGTTGTTTATAAATGATCTGCAAAAGGGGATCGGCAGCAAGATCTGCAGGTGATACAAAATTATTGGGTTAGTCAGGGCTGGAGAAACCTGTGAGGAACTTTTGAGGGACCTAACTAAATTAGGCAAATGGTCAACACAATGACAGATGAACTTCAGTGCTGACAAATGCCAGGTAATGCAAATTGGAGGGAATAATTTGAACTACTTGTGTAGCTTACTGGGCTCTAAATGATTTGTATAAACTCAGGGAAGAGATCTGGGCATCACTGTGGATGGCTCAGTGATGACCTCTGCCGTGGTGGTTAAAACAAAATGAAATGTCAGGATGTATAAGAAACAGGATGCAAAATAACACTGAAAATATTCTAATGCCATTACGTAAATCAACTATTTGATCTCCTCTGGAATAGTGTGTGAAGGTCTGGCCATCTAAACCACACAGCAGAAATAGAGACAGTTCAGAGATAGGTGTTGGAAATTGTTAGAGGCAAGGAAAGACCGTCGTATGAAGAGAAATTGAAAAGATTGGTATTCTTTCATTTCGAGAGGAGACCAGTGGGGGTGGTGCGGCACAGGTATACAAAATAATGAATGGCAGAGAGAAGGTAAACCAGGCATTCCATTTCATCCTTTGTCATAACTCAAAACTAAGGGACCATTCTTTAAAACTGAAAAACAGCACATTTGAAACCAATAAAAGGAAATTGTTGTTAAGTAATGTGCAATTAGCCTGTGGAACTCATTGTAACAAGGTATCATTGAGACCAAGATCCTTGCAGGCTTCCAAAACAAATTGGATGTTTATAGAGTAACAAGAACATCCAGAGTGACAAGATTGAGGATACAAATGGAAGTGATATAAACCTTTATGATCCAGGACAGAAATCACCCTTTGAATGACAGGGTTAGGCAAATGTTTCCTCTATGGGCAGGATATCCCATAACTCCCCAATTACGGATTTCTTTCATCTTCTTCAGAAGTATAGATATTGGTCACTGTAGGAGATAGGATAATGGTCTGTTCTGGTCTGACAGTTTCTAGAATAATGTTGCAATATCAAGATTTACCAGAGATAGAGTCAAATCTCTTAACCCATTACAAAGGTACAATGCTGGCTTTTTATTATATAACTTCCTGCCATTGCAGGGGCCTCAGGCTTTGGTGGCATCTCGGTATCTCCTATTCTTTGCCTGTGGCACACAATAATTTAGTCTACTGACTGCTGGAATGCTTTAGTCTAACTAATGTCATTGCACTCAATATAGGAGTATCTGGGTGAAGTTTAGTGGCCTGTGTTATATGGAAGATGAGACTGGATGATCTAATGATCCCTTCTAGCCCTAATCTCTATGAAATCTATAGAGCTCCCATATGTAGCTTTATGAAATATCAGGCCTTCAATCTGCCACTGCTCCAGAACTGCATATTGTTTGTCCAAGGCCACAGGCCAGTGTAATTTCTGGTGAGGCCTAAAGTATTTATGAACTTCATCCTCCGGGCCTACAAGAATGGAAGTGTAAGTGCTGCTGTTGCCTAACACTAATTCCAAACCTGACACTTCAGAACTATTGATTTCACAAATTAACCCTCACAGGCCCGCATGGAGGAACTGGAGGAGGAGATAGAGGCTGAACGTGCCTCTCGGGCGAAAGCAGAGAAGCAGCGGGCTGATCTCTCCAGGGAACTTGAGGAGATCAGTGAGCGTCTGGAAGAAGCTGGTGGAGCCACAGCGGTTCAGATTGAGATGAACAAGAAGCGTGAGGCAGAATTCCAGAAAATGCGCCGAGACCTTGAAGAGGCCACTCTGCAGCATGAAGCCACAGCTGCCGCCCTTCGGAAGAAGCACGCGGACAGCACAGCAGAGCTTGGGGAGCAAATCGACAACCTGCAACGAGTCAAGCAGAAGCTGGAGAAAGAAAAGAGTGAACTGAAGATGGAGATTGACGACCTGGCTAGTAACATGGAGACTGTCTCCAAAGCCAAGGTAGCTGGACAGTGTGTTACTCTTCCCACTACAGTTGTTCTGCAACAATGTTAGATAAGCTAAATCATCTATTTTGTATTTTTTAACAGAGTAACCTGGAGAAGATGTGCCGAGCCCTTGAAGACCAGTTCAGTGAAACCAAGACAAAAAACGATGAACATATGAGGCTAATCAATGATTTGAACACACAGAAAAAGCGTCTGCACACTGAGAATGGTACGCCTAGAGACCACCCGTAAAAGTTCTTTGTGCTGACATTTTGAACATGCTGTCTAAATATCTATGCATTTTTAACATGTACATCACCATGGTAACTGAACACAGCGCTTAGACTGTGGAATATTCTTCCTGTGCAAGTGGTGAAAACACCACCATCATTTAAAAGAAAGCTGGACCAAGCAACAGCATATGAACTATAGGGAACAATCCTGGGACATGGACTTGGTGTATCCTATAATGTATTACTCTTATGGTGCCATGGATGTGCATGGGACTTCACAGAAACATAAATGGAGCGCCTGCCTTGAAGAATGCACAGTTTAAGTTAAGGTGTGAGCAACAGTGGAAAGAACACAATCAGAAATGGTTGAATGAGGGGAAGATGGGGGAAGATCCCATGTGGCACTGAGCAGAGTAATACAAATGCCTTGAGATTTATACAGATGTATCTCAGTCCTGGGTAGTTTGTAGGAGTTTAAGCCACTTTGAAAAAGCAAGTTTTAAGAAAGCGCTGAGGGAGATGTCATGTGACTAGTGTCTCTAGAATCTGATCATGTGCATTTTTTCCATTAGGTGAACTCACTCGACAGATGGAAGAGAAAGAATCCTTGATTTCTCAGTTGACTAGAGGTAAACAAGCCTTCACTCAGCAATCAGAGGAGCTGAAGAGGCAGCTAGAGGAAGAAAACAAGGTGATTTCTCCTAATAGATTTCTGCGATGTCTTGAGGCTCAGCAAATTCTGGAGCTAAAAATTCAGCTGAACCAGTCAGGAAGTCTGTCCCTCTCCAGAATAGGTAGCATACCTAAGAGGCAATAATATAAGTAAAGCTGACATCCAACATTGTCGGAGAGTGAAACTCAAAGGGGAGATTAGAAATGTATACAGAATAATGAATGGTCTGGAGTCCTCTGTTCATTGTTGTGTTTCATAACACAAAAATAAGGGGACAGTCAACAAAATTGAAAGGCAACCAATGTAAATACTTTTTGATGTATAATTAGTCTGTGGAACTCATTGCCACAAGATACAAATGAGGCAAAGAATGTAGTAAGATTCAGGAAAGGATCCCCTGTTTAGGTGGATAACAAGAATGCCCAAATTTAGAATACACAGAATTTGAAAAGTTTGAAAGGATCTCCTCCTGCTTCAGCTCTGAGCCAACCTCTACATGAGGAAGCCAGGGCAAACTTTCTCTAGGAGCAGATTATCCCACATCTGCCTGCTGCGGCGTCTCTTCCTCTGACAGTCTTGGTACTGCCACTGTGAGAGACAGGATCCTGAGCTAGATGGAGCATGAGTCAGATCCAAACCGGCAGGGCCTCTGCTGAGTAATGTTCAGAAGGACCCCAAGTGTAGATCACTCTGCACACTGGCTCTTCCCTTGACCTAGTGAATTTCACTCACTGGCAGCATGTGGCCTTTTTTATTAAAACATCCAACAGGACTGCAGTTTAAAAATCTGTTAATGTGATGTTTGGACAGCACTCATTTCATTATACCTCCCAAGGCTAAGAACGCACTGGGCCACGCCTTTCAGTCTGCTCGCCATGACTGCGACTTGCTCCGGGAGCAATATGAGGAGGAGCAGGAAGCCAAGGGTGAGCTGCAACGTGCCCTGTCCAAGGCCAACAATGAAGTTGCCCAGTGGAGAACCAAATATGAGACGGACGCCATTCAGCGCACAGAGGAACTGGAAGAGGCCAAGTACGTGCTGGGGTTAGGGAGAACTGGAAGAGGCCAATGATGGGCTGGTGTTGGGGAGGACTGGAAGAGGCCAATGATGTGCTGAGATGGGAGCAGGACTGGAAGTAGGTCTGGATGTGAATGTGGGAGGAAGTGGAAGAAGCAAGGTTGTGCTAGGGAAGGGAGTGCCTGGAACAGTGTGCTTTGGAGTGGGCAATAATGGATTGTGGGCTGCTTTCTGGGGATTGTGACTGGATGAGGACAAGTGTGCTAGTTCTTGTGCTAGATTTCCATTGTTAACCGCAGCTGAGTCATCATATTTCCCATTGAGTTTACATTATCCTTGCTGTTCAGAGTCTGTTTTCTGGATCTTCGCCAGTCCTTTGATCCCTCCCCCACCAGACTCCCTTCTGGTTAATGATGCTGCTGCTCTTCCATACCTCACTTCTCTCCAGCCTCCCCCATCCCTCGACTGCAACTACCCACATGCCCTTGTTCCTTGCTCTTTATTCTCCTCTCCCAAACTCCAGTCCAGCACCCTCCCTGAGCCAGCCCAGACTTCCTCAGATGCCCCCTGAGCCACGCTGTCTGTCCCAGCTTCTCACATGCTCTTCTCCCAACCTTACAACAAACTCCCTTCTGGCCACCCCTGGCTTCCTTCCAGCCCTTCCCTCACACAGGCTCCCCAAAGGGGCTGGACGTTTCCATTCAGCACTGATGTCTGGCCCTACAGGAAGAAGCTTGCTCAGCGTCTACAGGAGTCAGAGGAACAGACTGAGGCCATCAATTCCAGATGTGCCTCACTGGAGAAGACGAAGCTGAGGCTGCAGGGGGAAGTGGATGACCTCATGACTGATATGGAGCGATCCAATGCAGCTTGTGCAGCGTTCGATAAGAAGCAGAGGAATTTCGATAAGGTCTTTTCAGAGCAATCCCATTTTTCATTCCATTTTTCCAGGGCCGCCAAGAGGGTTCAGGGGGCCTGGGGCAAAGTGGGGGAGCTGCGGCGCTTGTACTCACCCGACGGCGGTCCGGGTCTTTGGCGGCATTTCGGCGGCGGGGGTCCCTTCAGTCGCTCTGCATCTTTGGCAGCACTGAAGGGCCCCCCGCCGCTGAAATGCCACCGAAGAGCCGGACCGCCGCCGGGCCAGGGCTCGTGGGGCTCCTGCGGGGCCCAGAGCCTGGGGCAAACTGCCCCACTTGCCGCCCCCCCCCCCAGGCGGCCCTGCATTTTTCAAAGAAAGTCTAAGTTTTGTAGATCACAGAATGTCATTGATGTTCCCACCCAATTGGCTCCCAATCACCTGGAGTCTCAAGAGGGCAGTATACATTTCTGACAGTCCAACACAAGGTGCTGTGCAGTTATGAAAGCTCTACTTTTATTCAAAGCTTTAGTTGGGCTCAGTCTAACCTAAGTAAAGAGTGTCCAGATACCATGGTGCTGGCCACCTTCACGTACACGTAATAATAACAATATCATAAAGCAGATGGATCATGTATTAGTGCCAATCTGTCCCCAGGTAAGAGACCAGAATTCAAACCACAGCAAACAAACAGAGCAACCCACTAAGGACATTAGAAATCATGAAGCTCTAGCGAAGGAAACTGGCAGTGGTCAGAGCCTTATATAAGAACATAAGAGCTGCCATACTAGGTCAGACCATGGTCCCTCTTTCCCAGTATCCTGTCTGCAACAGTACCCAGTACAGAGCTTCAGGGGAAGTATACAGAACAGGGCAATTATAGATCCACCCCTGTCTGCCCGTCCTGGCATCAGGCAATGAGAGGTTTATGGTCTCCCCAAGCATGTGGTTGCATCCCTGACCATCTGAACTAACAGCCAGTGTGTATTATTTTGCACTTATCAACATTAAATTTCATCTGCCATTTTGTTTCTCAGTCACCCAGTTTTGTGAGATCCCTCTGTAATTCCTCACAGTCTGCTTTGGATTTAAGGATCTTTAATAATTTTGTATTGTCTACAAACTTTGCCATGTCAATATTCTCCCCCGTTTCCAGATCTTTATTGAATATGTTGAACAGAACAGGACCCAGTACAGATCCTTGGGGCCCCTGCTGTTCAGCTCTCTCCATTATGAAAACTGACCATTTATTCCTACCCTTTGTTTCCTATCTTTCAACCTCTTACTGGTCCATGAGAGGACCTTCCCTCTTATCCCATGGCTATTTAGTTTCCTTAAAAGCCTTTGATGAAGGACCTTGTAAAAGGCTTTCTGAAAATTCAAGTACACTATATCCACTGGATCACCCTTGTCCACATGCTTGTTGACTCTCTCAAAGAATTCTAATAGATTGGTGAGGCATGATTTCCCTTTACAAAAGCCGTATTGACTCTTCCCCAACTTATCGTGTTTATCTAGGGGGCTGATAATTCTGTTCTTTACTATGGTTTCTACCAAATTACTTGGTGCTGAAGTTAGGCTCACTGGCCTGTAATTGCCAGAATCTCCTCTAGAGTCCTTTTTAAAAATTGGTGTTACATTAGGTTACATTCATCTGAACAGAGCCTTTGAGTGAGCCTGTGAAACAATTTTTCAGTTTCCTCCCAACACGGTAGATAGCCCTGGTAACGCTGCGATCACACAGCTATGCACAGGAGCAGCAGAGGATTTATGGCCAAATTTTTACCCTTTAGGCACAGCTCTATGGTTTTGGAAGCTGCCACAGACTGGTTGGCCCGTTAAGGGGAGTTGGGCTCAGTCTTCCCTGTGATGCATCGACTACCCCCACACCCCAGCTGATCCTGATCAACTGGGGATCGGATGGCTTGGGTAAATTCAGACCCACCTGGGAAGGAGTCAAGTGATTTCCATAAAGGGCTGGGAGAGCTTAGTTCGGGATGGGATCTGCAGGAAGGACGTTGTTTCCTGTGCCTGGCCATGAAAAAAGAGGGCCAAACCCCAGGCACATGGCCCAGATGAAGACTGGGAATAAGGATATGCGGGGAACTAGATTGAGGGAAGGATTCCAGGGAGAAAGTCCAGACAGACAGCACTCAACAAGAGATTAGGGCTGAGAGGTAGCCCAGGAGAGGCATGTCATGTACACCTTGTGCACAGTAGGTTGCAGGGCTGCTACTAGCAGATCAGGCTTCTGTACCAGATATGAAATGGCTATAGAGCTTTCTTAGTTCCTTCTCAGAGAGATCTATCAGATGTGTTCAATATAAGATCCTTTAATGCACCGCTAGGAATGACTGTTGTGAGCTTAAGTCAGGTATGTTACATGTGGCACTATCTAATGGATCAATAATATAACACAATATAACAATATAACTACAATATAAGTTGTAGATTCCTAACTGTTATAATATGTACACTATCTTTAAACTTCAGTACATATCAGTCTGTTAAGCGTCTCTGAATCATACTGGTTTTTTGATAACATGACTTGAACACGTAACAACTTGGTCATCTGCTGTCCATTAGTTGTAATGACTGGCTGTGATCAGTTTGGAATCTTTGAGTTGTCTTCTTGTTCTGCATCCATCAGCTGTAGAGTTTACTCTGTTGATTAGTCCTTCTGGGGAACACATTCTAGATATCAATGGTTTCTGTTGAACTCTAGACTGTTGGCCTCGATCACGTATAATTTGGGCGATTAATTATTTTTCTTTACAAGATCTAGGGTTGTCCATCCTTTTTCTCGATGCAATTTGACACAAGCACTGTCAAGGCTGTATCCCCACTTTGAACTTTAGGGTACAAATGTAGGGGCCTGCATGAAAACTTCTAAGCTTATCTACCAGCTTAGCTTTGGTCCGCTGCCACCATCACAAGAATTCCCTCCCTGGGAAGCCTTGAGAAACCTTTCACCAATTCCCTGGTGAACACAGATCCAAACCCCCTTGGATCTTAAAACAAGGAGAAATTAACCATCCCCCCTCCTTCCTCCCACCCTCCTTTCACCAACTCCTGGTGAATACAGATCCAAACCCCCTTGGATCTTAAAACAAGGAGAAATCAATCTGGTTCTTAAAAAAGAAGGCTTTTAATTAAAGAAAAAGGTAAAAATCATCTCTGTAAAATCAGTATGGAGAATAACTTTACAGGGAAATCAAACTTAAAGAGCTCAGAGGACCCCCCTCTGTCTTAGGTTCAAAGTACAGCAAAACAAAGATAAACATTCTGGTAAAAGGTACATTTACAAGTTGAGAAAACAAAGTAAATCTAAGACGCCTTGCCTGTCTTTTTACTTACAAGTTTGAAATAGGAGAGACTTGTTTAGAAAGATGGGGAGAACCTGGATTGATGTCTGGTCCCTCTCAGTCCCAAGAGCGAACCACCCCTTAAAACAAAGAGCACACACAAAAGCCTTTCCCCCCCCAAGATTTGAAAGTATCTTGCCCCCTTATTGGTCCTTCGGGTCAGGTGTCAGCCAGGTTACCCGAGCCTCTTAACCCTTTACAGGTAAAAGAATTTGGAGTCTCTGTACACAGAGAGCTGTTACCCTTCCCTTTATAGTTATGACAAGCACAGTCACCAGTTTCTAGACCTGGAAGTTCTCTAGCTGAGTGACATGTGTTGTAAACATGTCTGAAAGCTCTTTTTGCCTTTTTAGCCAATATGACTACTTTCTTCATATATGGCTACTTCGGAGATAGTTTCTTGTTCAAAGTTGGAAATGTAGTTCTGAGTCGTCTTCCCAACAGGAGTTGTACTGGACTATATCCTGTAGCTGTTATTGGTGTTGATCTGTAATCAGAAGAACAAAGAATGGATCTTCCTGTTGTTGGATTTTCTTGGCTGTCTGTAAAACTCTCTTAGCCTCTCCATTCGCTTGTGAGTAATGTGGGCTACTAGCAATATGATGAAAATCATATTTCGTTGGAAAGACTTAAATTCTACTGCAGTGAATTGTGTCAATTGTCCATCATTAGTTGTTCTGGAATACTGAAGTGAGCAAAAGTGCATTTCAGTGTCTCAATAATACTGTGACATGTTATATTTCAAGTACATTATTGCTATATACCTGGAAAAAATAGTCCACCGTAAGCAAGTAAAGATGTCCTCTGAATTTCATGGTCTGTCTGATAGAGGTGTTCGTATACTGTAAGGTTCAGCAATGTCTCTTGAGGTTACTTGTACTGGATCTTTTTCAAAAGTTCATTATCACCAAACTCTAGAGTTTCTCACTAGGCCCATCATGGTTGCCATGCTGCAGCTGAGAAGGTTTTTTGTCTTTGATCACATGAACTTGAATGTAAAGCTCTGTGTTTGTAAGTTGTCTCTGTGGTAAACTAGCCCATGCAGTTCAGAGCACCTCCCAGGCTAGTCAGGGCTGTATCAGGTGATTTCACCTATAGGAGGGATTATTGGAAATCCCTTCTGAGATGACTGTCTTGTCTGCTTCTGAGTCAATTTTAAAGTCAATACTCTTTCCATGAATATTCAGTTACACTCTGAGGCAGGCTCTGTCTCTTCACATGATAGATCCCAGAAACCTAGCTCTTGATTTTATATAATATTAATCAGTTCTCTGACTGCCGAGTGAGAGCAAACAGCTGCAAAAGTCTCTATTTTGTGCATTTATTACAACTTGTGCCTTTGGCTAAACATTCATCTGTTGGGCTATGAATTTTTCACATTGAATCATAGAAGATTAGGGTTGGAAGAGACATCTAGTCCAACCTCCTGCTCAAAGCAGGAACAACCCCAACTAAGTCATCGCAGCCAGGGTTTGCCAAGCAGGGCCTTAAAAACCTCTAAGGATGGAGATTCCACCACCTCCCTAGGTAACCCATTCCAGTGCTTCATCACCCTCCTTGTGAAATAGTTTTTCCTAATATCCAACCTAGACCTCCCCCACTGCAACTTGAGACCACTGCTCCTTGTTCTGTCATCTGCCACCACTGAGAACAGCCGAGCTCCATCCTCTTTGGAACCCTGCTTCAGGTAGTTGAAGGCTGCTATCAAATCCCCCCTCACTCTTCTCTTCTGCAGATTAAATAAGCCCAGTTCCCTCAGCCTCTCCTCATAAGTCACGTGCTGCAGCCCCCTAATCATTTTCGTTGCCCTTCACTGGACTCTCTCCAATTTGTCCACATCCTTTCTGTAGTGGGGGGCCCAAAACTGGATGCAGTACTGCAGATGTGGCCTCGCCAGTGCTGAATAGAGAGGAATAATCACTTCCCTCGATCTGCTGGCAATTTTCCTACTAATGCAGCCCAATTTGCCGTTAGCCTTCTTGGCAACAAGGGCACACTGTTGACTCATATCCAGCTTCTCATCCACTGTAATCCCCGGGTGCTTTTCTGCAGAACTGCCATTTAGCCAGTCCATCCCCAGCCTGTAGCAGTGCATAGGATTCTTCTGTCCTAAGTGCAGGACTCTGCACTTGTTCTTGTTGAATCTCATCAGATTTGTTTTGGCTCAATCCTCCAGTTTGTCTACGTCACTCTGGGCCATATCCCTACCCTTCAGCATATCTACCTTTCCCCCCAGCTTAGTGTCATCCGTGAACTTGCTGAGGGTGCAATTCATCCCATCATCCAGATCATTATTGAAGATATTGAACAATACCGGCCCCAGGATCGACCCCTGGGGCACTCCACTTGATACCAGCTGCCAACTAGACATCCAGCTGTTGATCACTACCCACTGAGCCCGACGATCTAGCCAGCTTTCTATCTACCTTATAGTCCATTCATCCAATCCATACATCTTTAACTTGCTGGCAAGAATACTGTGGGAGACTGTATCAAAAGCTTTGCTAAAGTCAAGGTATACCACGTCCATCGCTTTCTCCATATCCACAGAGCCAGTTATCTCATCATAGAAGGCAATCAGGTTAGTCAGGCATGACTTGCCCTTGGTGAATCCATGTTGACTGTTCCTGATCACCTTCCTCTCCTCCAGATGCTTCAAAATGGATTCCTTGAGGACCGGCTCCATGATTTTTCCAGGGACTGAGGTGAGGCTGGCTGGTGTGTAGTTCCCCAGATTCTCCTTCTTCCCTTTTTTAAAGATGGGCACTATATCTTGTATATCTTGTACACTTAGTCTGAAAGGCTTTGTAATTTGCCTGGAATTTGTCCCTCTTAGCCTCAGGGCTTTTATAATGATGACTTTTAGCACTCATGCTGTGTCTGTTTACAGCTTCTAAGCTAGTTTCAGATTTTTCATGTTGCTCCTGCCTTTTGTTCAGTTATTTGACTAGTTCAGACTCCTTTGCTCGCTGTATAGCTGTGGGTAGATTTAAGTCTGTCTTTAATTGTAATTGTTGTGAGAGGTTCTTGTCTCTTAACCCAATAACCTGTCTGATATTTTCATGTTTTGCAGTACCAAAAATCACACTTTACAGCCAACACATTGAAAGCTCTTATAAAAGAATCAATATTTTCTCTTTGTTCCTGAATTCTCTGGTGAAAACGTACTCTTTCATAAACTGCATTTCTCTGAGGTATAAAGTGTGCATCAAACATAGCCCAAACTCTGTCATAGCCATCTTTGTGACTGTCTTTAGTAAAGATAAAAGGCTTAAATATATGCCGTGCTTACTTCATAGCCTACATTAAAGAGATACCTGAATATCTCGTTTTCTTATGGAGTTTTATAGCAATGCAAAATACGGCTCCCACTCCGTCCATTGTGAAGGTTTGTCAACGCTGAAGTTCTCTGGGACATTGAAGAGTGGCATGGTGATGAAATCCTTCAGCCTTTGGTGCTGTTTTCCTTCTGTTTCTGTTCTCCTCTGGCTCTAGTTTACTTCTGACATCATGTCATGTACATCCTATGCACAGTAGGTTACAGGGCTGCTACTAACAGGTCAGGCTTCTGTACCAGATACGGACTGACTACAGAGCTTCCTTAGTTCCTTCCCAGAGAGATCCACCAGATGTGTTCACTATAAAATCCTTTAGTGCACTGCTAGGAATGGCACTTGCGAGCTTAAATAAGGTTTGTTACACATCGCGCCACCTAGTGACTGAACAGTATAATACAGTTTAGCATTCACTTACAGGACGAAAGACCCTTCTACTGAATGTGTCTTCTAGGTCTTTTGTTTATGCACCCGGCCTGGAGCTGCTGAGAGATGGGAGGGGGCTCATCAGAAGCACAAAAGCGCTGTCCCCTCTCCCATTCCAGGAAAGCTCTTGGATTTGGGTGCCAGGGTTTCCCCATTACAGCAGTTTATTGGCTTGGTTTATTCACGCCAAATTCCACATCAGTCTGCGATGCTGAGCAGACAGTAAGACACTGCTGGGGCAGCCTCCATGGCTGACCTAAGCCTGGATATTGTCAATGAACTGCTGACAAATCAGACTATGGTGCCCTAGCTGGTCTTTCGATAGCTTCATGCACAATGAGCAACAAGGGAGACAAAGTTAACCCCTATGGGACTTTCTATGTCCAGTATTCACAATGCTTTTAAATGGAGCCTTTTCATTATAGGAGAGAGGCTGCTAAACACCAGGGATCCCGAGCCAAATCCTTCACGCCCCACCCTTGCTGCTCAGAAGAGTGGTGCCTGGGGAAACATCTGCATTTCTCATTCTTCACTGCCACTAAGTAGAACTACTGAAAGAATCGTTGCAGATTCCCACAAATGACAGTGCAAGCTCATGCAAGGGACCAGTGGCCTCTACTGCAAAACAAAAGTTCATAGTCTGACTCTAGCAGGACTCCCATAATGCCGCACTCCTTCCTGAGGCCCTTGTGAGATTCGTTGGGGCTGGATGGAGATAGTATATAACCAGCTGCCAGTGAGGAGGCAGCCAGAGTGAGAGTTATAATGAAAAAGCTCTTGAAAGCAGGGCACATCAAATGGGTCATCTGCAGGGCTGTGGCATGAGCTGTGTCTGCAACTCCGTCACATCCTGTGTACTACACAAGAGTCACAAAGCACCATGTTCTCCCACTACAAGCTGATTCTCATTCCGTAGGTCCTGGCAGAATGGAAGCAGAAATACCAGGAGAGCCAGTCTGAACTGGAGGCTGCCCAGAGGGAATCCCGTTCCCTGAGCGCAGAGATCTTCAGGATGAAGAATGCCTATGAGGAGGTGCTCGACCAGTTTGAGACAGTCAAAAGGGAGAACAAGAACCTGCAACGTAAGTCTAGTGCCTGGCCTTTTGAGACCCACCTCAAGTTCACAGAGCCATCTCCATGTTCCTGCGCCTCCAGAGCATTGCCTACTCCTACCAGCCCAGCAACCATAACCTCCTCCAATCCAGCTGCTCCCAAAATCCCACCGTAAAACTGTGCATGTTCATACGTGCTGTTACAGTATTGGTTGAATACACCTTGTGACCTGAGTGCCACCACAATATGCATTTTGATGCAGCCAAATGTAAGGTCATATGTCTAGGAACAATGAATGCAGGTCATACTATCAGAATGGGGGACTCCATCCTAGGAAGCAGTGACTCTGAAAAAGATTTGGGGGTCATGGGGCTAATCACTTGAACATGAGCTCCCAGTGTGATGGCTGTGGCCAAAAGGGCTAATGCATCAGTTCCCAACTCACACACACCATATGTGTGAGGTCATGCCACATGGATGATGCCATTTTGCTCTACAAAATGGGGCCCCCCGTGCAGTGTGACCTCGCACATATCGTACATGTGCAAGGTCATGCCGTGTGGAGGGTGCCATTTTTAAAGCAAAATATCTGCAAACAGGATAATGCAGCAGAAACTACTTGGCTAATGTGATCCTGGGAGGTATAAATAGGAGTATCTCAAGTTGGAGTTAGGAAGCTGTATTATCTCTATATTTGGCACTGATGCAACCACTACTGGAATACTGTGTTCAGTTCTGGTGCCGACAATTCAAGAAGGATATTGATAAATTGGAGAGGGTTCAGAGAAGAGGTATAAGAATGATTACAGGTTTGGAAAACCTGCCTTATTATGATAGACTCCAGGAGCCTAATCTATTTAGTTTAACAAAGAGAAGGTGAAGGGATGATTTGATTACAGTCTGTAAGTACCTACATGGGGAACAAATAATTCATAATGGGCTCTTCAATCTAGCAGAGAAAGGGATAACACGATCCAATGGCTGGAAGTGGAAGCCAGACAAATTCAGACAGGAAAGAAGGTGTACATTTTTAACAATGAGAGTAACTAATCATTGGAACAACTTATCAAGGTGGATTTTCCATCACTGGCAATTTTTAAATCGAGACTGGATGTTTCTTTAAAGATCTGCTCTCATTCAGCCAAGAATTAATTCAAGGAAGTGCTATGACCTGTGTTATACAGGAGCTCAGACTAGAAAATCACAGTGGTCCCTTCTGGCTTTATAATCTATAAATCTCCTCGTAACCCCCAGTGTTCCCATCCCATCTAGCCTTATTCCTAATGTGACTCATTGGCGGGCAGGAGGCAGATTGTCCATTTTCTGTGTTGCAGAAGAGATTTCAGACCTCACTGAACAGATCGCCGAAGCTGGCAAAACGAATCATGAACTGGAAAAAGCAAAGAAACAAATTGAGAAGGAAAAGTCAGACCTGCAAGCAGCCTTAGAAGAAGCAGAGGCAAGTATCCTGGAAAAGCATTTATGTAATTCAGGCACATTAGAGATGCAAGAGACCTGGTGGTGACGTATCCCTTCCCTCCCCAGATCCCACCATGAGGGGTGCAGTGTAAGAACCTGAACAGTACAGAATAGCTTAGACAATTCCCTCTTACCCACAACCAGTGCAGCACTGCTGACTGCTAGGCGGCAATGTCAGTTCCAGAGTAAGACAGGCTCATTTTATATAATAGAAATATAGGTCTGTAAGTGACCTCAAGAGGTCATCTAGTCCAGGCCTAGTGCTGAGGCAGGACCTAGTATACCCAGATTATCCCTGACAGGTGATTGTCTACCCTGTTCTTAAAATCCTCTGACAGGGATTCCACAACCTTCCTTGAAAGCCTATTCCAGAGCTTAACTGTCCTTCCAGTTAGACTGTGTCCTAAACCTCCCTTGCTGCAGATTAAACTGATTACATCTTATCCTACCTTTGTGGACATGGAGAACAATTTATCACCATTCTCTTTATAAGAGCCATGAACATATTTGAAAACTATTATCAGGTGCCCCCTCCATTTTCTTTTGTCAAGACCAGTTTTTTTAACTTTTATCATTTTTGTTGCTCTCTTCTGGACTCTTCCGGTTTGTCCACATCTTTCCTAAATTGTGGCACCCAGAACTGGACACAGCACTGCCGCTGAGGCCTCACCAGTGCCAAGTAGAGCAGGACAATTACCTCCCATGTCTTACATATGACACACCTGTTAATAAACCCCAGAATGGGGTTTGCCATTTTTGCAAATGCATCACATTGTTCTTTTCAGCCAGTTAGTCCCCATTTTGTAGCTCTACATTTGAGTAGTCCTTCCTATGTGAAGTACTTTGCACTTGTCTTTAATGAATTTCATCTTGTTGATTTCAGACCAATTCTCCAATTTGTCAAGGCTTGTGTGAAATCTAATCCTGTCCTCCAAAGTGTTAGCAACCCTCCCAGCTTGGTGTCACCTGCAAATTTTATAAGCATACTTTCCACTCCATTATCAGTCATTAATGAAAATATTGACTAGTCTCAGACCCAGGGCTGACATCTGTAGAAGCTCACCAGATACATCCCTGCAGTTTGACAGCAAACCATTGATAACTTCTCTTTGAGTAAGATTGTTCAACCAGTTTTCCACCCACCTTATAGTAATTTCATCTAGACCACATTTCCCTAGTTTGCTTATGAGAATGTCATGTAGAACTGTGTCAAAAGCCTTGCTAAAATCAAGAGATCCTACCTCATTGTCACTGGCGTTCATTATGTTAGACATCCAATCGCTACTAAACATTTTGGTGAAAACTGAAACAAAAAAGTCATTTAGCACTTCCGCCATTTCCACATTTTCTGTTATTCTCTTTCCCCCTCATTGAGTAATGAGTGGGGAAAGACTTGTGATCCATACCTTGTTCAGTGTGCAGGGACTCCCAGACTTTAGAGCATGCAGGGAGCAGTGTGCTTTAATGAGCACCCATGGAGCTGTGCATGGTCTGATACATGCATCTGCACTGGGCAGTGTGTGCTGTTCAGACATGCACAGGCCTTAGCTCTTGCTCTGGGGATGGGAAGGCGGCAGGAGCATCTCTGGTCAGACCTTCCAAAGGAGGCAGAAAGTGGGAGAGGAGAGACAGCTTGTGAGCTCACTGGGTCTCTTGTCACTAAATGGGAGTTGAGGTTTGACATTAACTATATGCAGATGTGGAGGGGAGATGAGCATCTGCTTTCCTCATGCTGGGAGCTTGGCTGCCTTATCTGCGTATTTCATACTTTCTAATCTTATCTCTGAATGCCCTAGCTTTGGGATGCCGGGGATGTTCTTGGGAGGAGTTTTACCTCTAAGTTACTGACACATGCTCAGCTCAGGCTCAGTGAAGTACTTGGTCTGAGAATAACATTTTGTACTTCAGTGCTCTGTCCAGTCCAGTTCTAAATGTCCCAAGTAACTAGGCTTCAACTACTTCCTTGGAGACTGTTCCAATGCCTGGCAAAGCAGTTTGTGTCTGTGGTTCCACACTGCCATAGGAGATTGATTGGCAGGTTTATTGGGGCACTGCACTGAGACAAGCAATGTTCTCTTAACCCCACTAGGGCTCATTGGAACATGAAGAGGGAAAGATCCTGCGTGTCCAGATGGAGATGACCCAGGTGAAGTTAGATATTGACAGGAAAATTGCAGAGAAGGATGAGGAACTTGAGCAGCTGAAGAGGAATCACCAGCGGGTGGTGGAGTCCATGCAGAGCACCCTGGACGCTGAGATCAGGAGCAGAAACGAAGCCCTGAGGCTAAAGAAGAAGATGGAGGGGGATCTGAATGAAATGGAGATCCAGCTGGGCCATGCCAACCGCCTCGCTGTAGAGACACAGAAGCACTTTCGGAATGGGCAGGGACAGCTCAAGGTGGGCACCAGCAGAGTTTGTTCTTGTACCTTACCATGGACCTTACCTTGTTTAGCTGTGAGTCTTACTGTGTGTTTCACCCCAAAGGATTCCCAGCTCCAGCTGGACGATGCTCTTAGAGGGAATGAGGACCTGAAGGAGCAGCTGGCTATCGTGGAGCGTCGAAATAACCTGATGCTGACTGAACTGGAGGAGATGCGAGCAGCTCTGGAGCAGACAGAGCGAGCCCGGAAAGTGTCCGAGCAGGAGCTGACAGATGCCAGTGAGCGAGTGCAGCTCCTGCACTCCCAGGTACTTTCTCCCACCCTTCTCAATAGGCAGGTGGGATTGTCTTGAAATGTGGATGGGATGACCTGTCTTCCAATATGCCAACAGAACACTAGCCTCATCAACACCAAGAAGAAGCTGGAAGCAGACATGTCTCAGTTGCAGAGTGAAGTAGATGATACCATCCAGGAGGCGAGAAACGCAGAGGAGAAAGCCAAGAAAGCAATTACAGATGTGAGTTCTGCTGCTTGCATCCCACTCTCACTTCTGTGTGCTAGGAAAGGAGCGGGGTGGGGTGAGGTGCAATAACAACTTTGGCCCTCCCTGTACAGCAGTGGAGATTGGGGGGGGGGAGGGAGGCACTCAGGGATGAGGCCTGTGCCAACTAGCTCTGTTTCAGGTCTTTTCCAGGAAGGAATCCTGGAGCCAGGAGTGATGGCTGACCTTACTACATGACACAGGGCAGCAAGTGCTCTGCCAGTTTTGGTGCCCAAATGGCTCCCACTGTCCAAGCCCCGGAGCTGCATCCCAGCACTCCAGCCTGCTGCCTCTGGGCCACAATGAGCAGCTGTTCTGTGCAACCCTCCTCGGGCCTTGAGGAGTCAGGGTGCCAACCCCGTCTTTGCCATCCTGCTCCCTCTCCTTTCTCCTCTCTGTCCTCCTGCACCTCCCACGCTGCTGGCAGCGTTCAGCCAGACTAAGCCCACAGGAATCAGACGAGCCCGGCATACCGTTGCCACAAATTAAGGGGACTGCCCCGTGTCAGCCCCTAGGCCCCTCCCTCAGTTTTGTCCTGCCATGTTGCTCGGTGAGATGCTGCTCACGTGGCCCCAGTGCAGACCATGACCTGGTCTCCACAGCTGGATGATTTTTCATGGGGTGGATTGCAGAAGAGCCTGAGCTATGAATTTCAGCCCTGAGCCCCGATGAGAACCACCTCAGTGCTCAGGGCTGTTTGGATCCAGGTTAGTTCTGGCCCCATCTCTTGTGTTTTACTTAATTGCACTTCCTAGCAGCCAGGTGACCTCCACAACTAGCGCTAGCTGGCTGCTTTGCAGGCATCTCAACAGAGAGGCCAAGGTCTGTGTGAGTCACATGGCTGAACTCCCTTCTCCAAACACTGGTGAGGTAGCATTTGGGAAGCTGATACTGTCTCCGCTGTGCTTGTCCTGTGGAGGAGCAGAACCACCATGGCTGTCAGTGCATGAGTCCCCTTAGGATGGCCAGGCTCACTGGCTGAGGTTTTATCCTCCCTGTGGGGATGGTTTCTGTGAGGAGCTGGATCCTGGGAAGAGAGCACGAATATAGACACAGAGCTCCTAATGACGGCCTCAGCAGCACAGAGACGATGCTCATTAATAGGATAATTGTGCACCTAACTAGGCGGCCATGATGGCGGAGGAGCTGAAGAAGGAGCAGGACACCAGCACCCACCTGGAGAGGATGAAGAAAAACCTGGACCAGACGGTGAAGGACCTGCAGCTCCGTCTGGATGAGGCAGAGCAGCTGGCATTGAAGGGTGGCAAGAAGCAAATCCAGAAACTGGAGGCCAGAGTATGGCTGTGTTCAGACATCGGGGCCAGGCTGGATTTGGGGAACGGGGCCAGGCTGGATTTGGGGAACAGAGCCAGGCTGGATTTGGAGATTGGGGCAGGGCTGGATTGCGGGGACTGGGTTTGGTGGTTTGGAGATTGGGGCCTGGGTTTGGGGCTGAGCTGAGTTTGGAGGGACTGGGGTTGGGGCTGGGCTGGGCTGGATTTGGGGGTTTGGGGATCAGGCAGAGTTTGGGGATCAGGGGTGGGCCAGTTTGGAGATTTGGGGATCAGGGCTAGGCAGAGTTTGGGGAAGGGGACGGACTGGGTTTGAGGGGGTCCCTCACTACGGCCACTCTATCATGGCTGTGCTAAGGTGGTGGTGGCAGGCCTCACAGAGGCCTCTGCTTGGGTGGGTAGGGGCTGAATTGTTCCTCCTCTGGGGTGAACCCCGGCTCACTTGGTGCTAGGGACTCCTAATCTCGGGCATGGTGCTCCAGCATGCCCAGAGGGGTGGGGTGGCCCTCGACAGCCACGCAGATGGATCTTGGGGGGAGATCATGTGAATCCCATCTCAAGCTGGCATGGGGCCATGGAGGTCTCTCATGGGGATGTGCCTAGGCCCTTGGGCAGGGGCTGCTCATCCAGAGTGCCTGGACTTGGCGTTTGCTTTTTTCTTGAGTCTAGTGGAACATACGTATCCCATTCAGCTGCAATGTGGTGGCAAAACCTGAGTGAAAGAGGCAAATACAGCCTGAGCTCTCCCTGACAACACCTTGCCCCCTGCTCCCTCCCTTCCCTGGCTGCAGTAGAGCCATGGGCACATCGCTGTCTTTGGCTGTAAGGTGCCAGCAGGCGTGGCACTGAGTAACTCATGCTGCTGCTAATAAGGGCTTGTGACTGGGCCACAACCCATCGGTCCCCATGCCCCAGAGCAATGGCCAGAGGATTCACTTGGAGTCAACAAGTTTCCTGGCCCATCCACAGGCACAACAGGTGTCTCCTACCCACACCTTGGCCATCAGGGCCCAGGGCCGTTATGCACATGCAGCTCTTCCCTTTGCTGTTTGCTCTCTTCACCATCTTACTGTGCTTAGGTTCAGGAGCTGGAAAATGAGCTGGATGCTGAGCAGAAGCGAGGCATAGAGGCCATTAAAGGGGTACGCAAATACGAAAGGCGGCTCAAGGAAATCACTTACCAGGTACCACTGGGAACCACCGCTCCCATTGCAGCTCTGCTGCATTCCAAGCACATCCCAGACACTGGCCTCCCCAGCCTGACCATATTGCTATTGCATTCCCTGCAGTCTGAAGAAGACAAGAAGAATGTTATCCGGCTCCAGGACTTGGTAGACAAACTGCAGCTGAAAGTGAAAGCCTACAAGAGACAAGCTGAGGAGGCCGTGAGTGCAGAATCCGCCAATCTGCTGAGCAAAGATTTGCAAAGCTGCCTAGGCCTCAGGACACCCAAATCCTTTCATGTGGATGGAATGGGGGGCGGGGATCCAAATCCCCTGGCAGTTTTGGAAATCTCCGCCTAAATTCCAAACGGTTTACAGACTTAGGGCGTATCTACACAGGGAAGTGTAACTAGCTGGCAGGGCTGTGTGGGGCACAGTGCTGTGCAGGGTGCGAGGAGGGCCGTGGCATTCTCTGAGGCTTGGTGCTGGGTGGGACATGGGTTGATTGTGCTGGAGATGGCATGGCAGGGCGTTGCTGATGCTGAGTGGGGTAGTTGCTGCTGGCAAGGGGCTGGGTGTGGCATGGCAGGGCGCTGCTGGTGCTGGGCGGGGCATGATTCTGAGCATGCTGGGTCAGGTGTGGGTGGTGATTGTATGGGGCAGAATGTGAGTGCAGATGGGGTAGGCAGAGGGCACTAGGCAGGGTGTGGGCGCTGATAAGAACATAAGAATGGCCACACTGAGTCAGATCAAAGGTCCATCTAGCCCAGTATCTGGTCTTCCGACAGTGGCCAATGCCAGGTGCCCCAGAGGGAATGAACTGAACAGGCAATCATCAAATGATCCATCCTCTGTCACCCATTCCCAGCTTCTGGCAAACAGAGGCTAAGGATGGTGCTGGGCAGGACAGTGCAGGTACACATGGCATTAGCCGAGGGTGCTTTGTGAGACATGGTGCTGACAGTGCCGGGTGGGGCACAGGCAGAGATGGCACTGGGTAGGGCACAGACACTGATGGTGCTGGACAGGGCCCAGGTACTGAGGGCACTGGGCGGACATGGTGCTGACGGTGCTGGGGGTGTGTGGGTGCTGACAGCACTGTTTGGCTCTACAGGAGGAGCAGGCCAACACCCACCTGTCGCGGTGTCGTAAGGCCCAGCACGAGTTGGAGGAGGCTGAGGAACGAGCCAACATCGCTGAATCCCAGGTCAACAAGCTGCGGGCCAAGAGCCGCGACATTGGAAGCAAGGTGATCACAGGGCTCAAAATTTCTTATTCACAGTGACTTCACTCCGAAAGTACTTCAGAGTTATAGACCTCTGAAAATAACAAAGCCCTGAGACGTGTCCTCCCTCCATCCTGATCTCACCCCTTCTCCCAGCTCAAGATTTGTCACCTTTTCAGAGCCCCTCCAGCCCACTCTCTCCTGCACGTCCCCCTACATGGTGCAATGGGTGGCCCCCTGCTAGGAGCAGCCAGCACCTTGCTCATAGAATCTCTGTCTCCTTGCCATGTGCTTCCCTGCCACACTCTAGCCCCCTCCCTCACCTGCAGAGAAAATCATTTTTTGACGGCAATGCGCAAGTAGGGGAGAGTCATTCCCAGTGATAGTCCTCCACTGAGGTGTCAGGCACTCTCTGGGATCAGGGCTGCTGTCTGGAATGCAATTCAAGCAGCTGCCGTCGCACATTTATTATTATCATTGTACTTGTATTCAACAGAAAATACAACATGGAGTTTATAGTTTGATACTGACATATTGCACCCTGCCACAGGGTTGACCTGGGATAACTATCAGTTAGTCTGGCATCAATCCTGGGCAAGATCATGGAAAGGCTCATACTGGATTCAATCAATGAAGAACGACTTAGCAAAACAAAGAGAAAGTTTAGGGGTGACTTGATCCCAGTCTAACAGCCTCTTCAGTCTAGCAGAGAAAGGTCTAACACAATCCAACAGCTGGTAGTTGAAAGTAGACAAATTCCAATTGGAAATAAGGCGAACATTTTTAACAATAAGGGTAATTAACCACTGGAACAACTTACCAAGGGTTGTGGTGAATTCTCCATCACTGACCATTTTAAAATCAAGATTGGCTGTTTTTCTAATAGCTCTGCTCTAGTTCAAGCAGGCATTAATTCGGGGAAGTCCTGGGGCCTGCGCTATACAGGAGGTCACAGTGGTCCGGTCTGGCCTTGGAATTTCCATTACTTGCATCTGAAGAAGTGAGGTTCTTACCACGAAAGCGTATGCTCCCAATACTTCTGTTAGTCTTAAAGGTGCCACAGGACCCTCTGTTGCTTTTTACAGATTCAGACTAACACGGCTACCCCTCTGATACTTGACTGTGTGATGTAATTAATGCCAATCAATCTGGTTTGATGGCAAATAGTTCCTGTCAAATGAATTAATGCTCTTTGTCATGCTCTCAAGGTTGGCTGGTTGGTAGAGGGAACTGTGCCCATGGAATATACTGGACTTCAGTAAGACATTTGACCTAATGCCACCAGCCATTCAGATAAATAGACTAGCAATGTACAAAATCAATGGAGCCCATATTAAAGGGACTAAAAACTGGCCACCGAGAGAACTGGGGGTGCTGTGGACAGTGAGGCTCTTCTGCCCGTTCTCCATCAGGGACTGTTTCTCTCACCCCAGCATGGGGAGCACGCTTGCTGAAGGTGAGACATGAGCCCAAAAAGCCACATAAATGAGTCCTTCAGCAGGCACCTACACTAGTAGCTGTGTGGCATTTCACTGGCCCACATCCTGCCACTCCCACTAGAGGGAGCCACCATGTACTTGTCCCCAGAAAGCACCAAGCTAAATTGCATTCCCTGCTGCCTCTACAATGCTGCCTCTGGGACCTTGCTGGGCTTCTGGTGGACTGGCTCATCTGTACTGTGGCAATCTGCTGTGCCATGTCAGCCAATCTAAGGGGACAGAGACCATTCAAAAAACATGGGGCTGGTCAGCTGCTGTAAATCCTCAAGCTGCTTTGCCTTCAGCAAGGATCTGCCTATAGACCCCTCCTCTCATGCTGCAGGCCTGCAAATCATTGTTTCTTTGCCTGCAGTTTTGCACATTGTTGCCCCTAACTGCACACTTAAAATCATGTTGAGATTCTAGCCCCCGGGGCAATTCCATTATCCCAGTAACTTCTAAAGTATCTTTATTTATTTATCTACAGAAATCGGAGGAATGAGGTCCCAGAGTGCAACTGCAGAGGTCTCCCATGCAATATGGATGTCTGCAGTCAGGGTAGATGTACATTAGCTGATACAAATAAATGGAAAGACACATCTGATCTCTGTTCTGGCCTCCTTTATTCAGCCTGTGTAGAAGAGTTATTATTTGGGAGAAGACCTGTGGGAAATAAAAGGTTAATCTTGCAGGGACACTGGCATCAAACAAAGGGGAAAGTTAAGGTTGTCTTGGTGAGTGTGTCTGAGTAAGGTTGATTTGCTAGGGGGATGGACAGTATACGTCTCTGTACCTGACAGAAGGATCTCTGACGTACACAAAAGGCTGTTTGGGGGTCCTGGACAGGCATCTCAATTGTCCTCCAGAGTCTCAGCTTTCTTTTTTTTTAAAGTCAGTCTCTAGCGATTAGAGACTGACTATGCAAAGAAAACCTTCAGAACTTGAATCAAGTGTAATTGATACAGCAATGGCTCCCTGAGTTTGTGTAGAGCCTGAAACAATAACTCTGAGATATTCTGCTCCATTAATTTCAGTGGAGTATTAACTCAGATCAATGAAGACACTTCATACACCAACATGGTTAACTTCACTGCTCCTGCCAGCATGTCAGAAAGGCAAGGCAGGATCACACCCTGCACACTTACCTATCACCTGTGAGCAAGAGGAATGGGGATTGGGCTGGGGGTGGGGTGGTCATGGAGCATGATGAGCAGCCTGAAGGGGTGGGCACTCAGCATTCGGAAGCCGGGCAAATGCTGCAGTGGGTTAATGGCCATCTCCTGGGCAGTGAGGGGGTTGGATGGTGTCATTCGCTCTCAGCGACTTGCTGGCACAAAGGCGATTTCCCTGTGTTTATAACGTGTGTAACGAGGAGACAATGAGGGATGAGGAGCTGTAGTGCTCTACATGCCTTGGCCATTCCATCACACAGCCCCCTTCGCCTCCATGACACTCTCCCCATATTACCTGTGGCCTCTGTGCACCAGCTGTGCTGCCAGACCACCTCTGTGGTTAATACCCTGGGAATGGCAGCGCCCCCGACAAGGCAATGCTGGTTTCATCAGTTCTGCACTCCTCTCCCCAGAGTCTGTGCAGGCTTGTGCCGGCTGATCTGTGACGGGGCACTCCTGCAACCCAGTGAATCTCTGCTGCTGCAACAGCTTGAAGGGGGGTGGGAAATGGGCTGGGGCACCAACCCAGGCAGCCCTCCGGCTTCTCTAACCTGTTCGTGGGAGGCATCGGCAGCCCAGCCCCGTTCGTTCCCCTGCGGGACCCGAGCGGGACGGGGAGGCTGGGGCCTGCTGCCCCCACTCCGGGGCCGCCGTGGGATTGTACCAGCTGGGCAGCAGCCCAGACGTGACTGGCCAGGGGCTGGGCGCAGCGTGCGCGCTGCTGGGTCCCCGCAGCAGGCCCGGGCTCGGGGGGTTTGGTCCTGGGCGCCAGAGCCGCAGCCGCCGAGCTTGGCCATCGTCCGCTTCCTCCCCCCGCGGCAGTGGGAGCTGCCGCTGCCTGGCCCCGCGGGCCGCCCCCCTACTCTCCCTACTGCCCGACTGAGTCCTGCCTGCACTCGGGGCCAGGCCGGACTCTCACTCACCCTGGCCTGGCGCTTCCCCTGCGTCTCCCGGGCCTCCCTCCAGCCCTTGTGGAGGA